TCCGTGAAGTCCACTCTGCTTGTCTGTAGGTCCCTAAATCTTTGGGCAATAAAAGTTGGAGTGCTGGCCTCCCTTGTTATCTGTGTGTGTGTGTTTATGTGTGTAACTCCCCTTTGGTGCCTCTCGTACCAGGCTCGGCCTTGTCTCAGGCCACCTGGAATTTAGGCCCTGTGATATGTGCATGTGTGATCCTACACTACGATCCACTGTGTGTTTGGATACTTTTATCATAGCAGCATTAACTTTTCAGCAACTTCTACAGTAGGTTTCCTGTGGGGTCACTCCACACATGCATCAGTGACAATAACAAAAGAATAAGAACAAAGTAATAAGAATAACTTTATTTCATTTTGGTGCTCCTACAGTATTTTGGTATGTTTAGAAAAATAAGTTTTGACTTTCAGTTCAACCATAGTGCTACTACAAAAATCAAAATATGGCTGATGCAATTGTGCTTTATTGCAATACACTTGGCTACATTTGATCAGCAGAAAATATTTAATGGTTTTATGATTTAGATTGCAACATTCTGACCTGATTTTTTTTTCCTGTCACACTGAAGGTTCCCTCAATAGGTAGAGAAAAATCTGGTATTACAAGGTATTTGCAGGCATGTTGCTCTCGCTCAGGGAAGCTGGTTTAGTTTGTTTTCCAGTCGGCCAATGGGTTGGCATCCCTCTGCTAAACATGGGTGACTCAGGTATACAGTGACATTATGTGAAGCTTTGCTGACAGGTGAGGGAGTAGTTTGACTTTCAGTGGAAAAAATATTTAAATTTTGTTGAATTTGGAACATTTCTTTCATTGGGCACTGCAGTCATTATAGCCAGCGCTGAGTTTTTCAGACTTCCCTCTCCCCGGCCACTTCCTCCAGCTCCTCTGGGGGAATCCCGAGGCGTTCCCAGGCCAGCCGAGAGACATAGTCCCTCCAGCGTGTCCTGGGTCTTCCACGGGACCTCCTCCCAGTGGGACATGCCCGGAACACATCACCAGGGAGGGGTCCAGGAGGCATCCTAAGCAGATGCCCGAGCCACCTCATCTGGCAATCTCTCAATGCAGAGGAGCAGCGGCTCTACTCTGAGTCTCTCCCAAATGACTGAGCTCCTCACCCTATCTCTAAGGGAGAGCCCAGCCACTCTGCGGAGAAAACTCATTTCGGCCCCTTGCACTCGCGATCTCGTTCTTTCGGTCACTACCCACAGCTCATGACCATAGGTGAGGGTAGGAACGTAGATCGACTGGTAAATGGAGAGCTTTGCCTTTTGGCTCAGCTCTTTCTTCACCATTATAGACCGATGCAGCACCCGCCTGTCGATCCGCCTGTCGATCTCCCGCACCATCCTTCCCTCACTCGTGAACAAGACCCCGAGATACTTAACCCCCTGGGGCCTGAGGCCTCTTTTCCACTTTCGAGGTAGTCTGACATGCCTTGACATTTTAAAATATTTCACCTATCTAATAACCATTTATCCCAAAGTGTTACATTTGCTTTTATTTAGCACAAACTCAGCACCAATAATCTGAGACCTCTTAGAATGTTATTATTCTATTTTTTGTTAAAATCAACTTTAAACATATAGTTTTCTAAAACCTATTTTCAGACATGCTGAGAAATTATAAAAAATCACATTATAGACATTTCTAGGTAAGACTTTTGAGCTCTGAAGCTTATAGACACAGGGGTTGGCTACACATAGGT